GGGAATTCCCGAACATAAACAAACAATTAAATGTCGTTAATTCACTTTCTCTGTTTCGACCTGAGACCATGTTCTAAGGTTTCGACATACAAAAATGTAGCAGGAGTAAACATATTCGAAGATTTATGTAATTTTGCAATAGTAATATTATCACTACCGCACTCAAATGTAGAATTTGAACGCGTATTTGGTGCTATGAATGTAGTTAAAAGCAAACTGTGATACAAGCAATCAGAAAAACCTTTAAATTCCATTCGTCTAATTAGAAATCAGTTAAGGATTAAAAAAGAATTGCGCAACGTATGATATTCCCGAAAATCTTGTCAACCTAGTTGGTAAAAGTAAACCAAAGATGGGAACTGGAGACATTGGCGAAGTTTCAACTTCCGCTGAAGTTCTTTTTGAAGATCTGGATCCATACTTTGCTATTGATTTTGAAATTTAGGTACAAGAACGTACTGAGCTAATTGTTTTATTTTTAATAAGATGACTAATGTTTAAACGTGGTTTAAAGAGATTTATTTTTTTACAATATTTTTTATTTTGTACATGAATAATTTTTGTTTTGGTTGTCATGTCATTAACCTACACTATATATAATTAATTTATATGAAATATAGTCCGCTCTTTTTAAGGTTTTCTGAATTTATACATTTAGATTTTCGGTATTCATTGTATACTATTTGGCAAGATTTTTCAGTTAGACCAACGGTACCACGAAAATGTACCTAGGGACATCTAGCGGATTTTAAGAAAAAGAAAAATCCTGTTTCTGGCGGATTTTTTCTGTTAGTCTAGGGACTTTAAAATTTGTAGAACGGCAACCCTAATGCTATTTTATCTAGCATTTAGTATCGCGTGAATCATTGTTTTGGTTAGACGAAGACGACCAACCACTGTACGATATACGTTGTGTAATGTATTCTCGCTATAATTGGCTTTTTGATACGTTATAGTGAATTTAGTTTAGTTAAGTTACCTATATCATTGATTTTAAAACCAAGTTTACACATTTAGCATTAAAAGCAAAATTAGTTCTGAATAAATGCTGTGTGATAGAAACATCAGTGCCATGTGAAAGGGTATTTTCACGAGCTGGTATCATGGTAACTGAAAGATGCACTCGTTTAGGAATTGCAAAAGTTAAACAACTAATGTTTTTAAACGTCCATTGTAGCCAATAATTCGGTACAACGGGCAAGAAAATGTAAATATTTCTACAGAAAAAAAACAACAAAAATACAAAAAACAAAAAAAAATTAAATAAGTAACAAATATTATTGATAATTGATCATTGTAAATATACCAATCTTTTAAATGCGCCAAAGAAAAGCAGAATGATAGTTTTTTTTATTAGGTAAGTATCTACTAAGTACTATTACTTTGACAGTCTTTTGCAGTCCTAAGCCTGGAAAAAACATGAAGGTAAGATTGGAGGTGCGTATTTACGCGACCATAAATAACTAATGACAACTAAGCCGTTCCGCGATCATTTCAGTATCTAGTCACAATTGAAGTGACGAGATCTAATATTCAGATAAAAATCATTGATGATTTTGTCATTGTTCCCGTCACCGATATTTTTTTGTCATTGTCATGCAGTCATTGATACAGAAAAATCATCACTCAGCCCATCTCTGGCGCACAGTCCACCTGATGGTTATTGTATTATAGTTATAGTTATAATAATGCTATGCCGTATGCGTTATTATACCTTATCCACTGACCTCTATATATATATATATATATATATATATCGCACCTTTAATAATAAACCGTAATAATTCAAAAAAAACGACTTTTCGATGTTTAATTATAAAACGCATTAACTCCGCGTAGAGAATATGTACACTTTAACAGCCGTTAAAATCGAAAAACTACAAGCGAGATAGAAGACTTTCCATCTCTTTTTGATTTTTGCAGCGGGCCAATGAATATTCATAAAGCGACGCCATTTAGTGTTGCTCCAACAGTGACAAAAGTGAGACGATTGTAAACGCGTGGTAAAACCCAGTAGTTCGTTTTATTTTTAACAGGTAATGAATTGCAATATTAGAATTTTATTTTAAAAGTGATTTATTTTTTATTGTTTCCTTTTCCTAAAAAAAAACTGCTATTTTATTGTGCAATAAATAGACTTAATTCAGTTTAGGATAAAATATTATCATTACTCGTAAGGACTTTTTGAAGTTGTTGCATTTTATTGTTAAAAGTTTTCGATGCTTAGTAAAATATTAAATGTTATTTCTATGTATTAATAATTTTCTTTTACAATAAACTTGAGAATATGATTTGTGCCGGTTTAATGTTTATTTAGCAGTAAGATGTTGTTTCATATTTAATGTTATTTCTCTTTTTGATTAACAGATATTTAGTATTCAAAAGTTATGTCACATAGAAGTCGAAGAATTTTGGGTTTGGTTTTGAAAACTAAGGAGTCCCATAGTGACCACACATCCGCCAGCTTATCGGAATGCGTAAAACAAGATACCTGTGATTATATACGCTACAGAAATTACTGTCATAAGCTTGTCCGGAAGCTTAAAAATAATTATGAAAGGAGGAAATTGGATAATGCAAAAAATAACCCCAAAATGCTGTGGAAGAATATTAAATCAATTTGCTATGTTAATAAAGATAATACTGACGACACACATAAACTTACAACTATAGCGTCCTCCCCTGTAGAATCTGCAAATTTTATTAATGATCACTTTTCTAGTATAGGCAAAAACTTGGCTGAAAATTTAAAAAACTCTGCCCCTCCTATAGTAAATAATTACATGACTAAAATGCCAACTCCAATGAATTCTTTTGTTCTACTAGATACCGACCCGTTGGAAATAAATTCGGTCATAAGCTATCTCTCTAATGAGTCTGCCCCAGGATGGGATAACATTCCAACATCATTTATTAAAATGGCCAGACACACCCTTACACATATAATTTGCCATATCTGCAATCTCTGTTTTAAAAGTGGCCGATTTCCCATAACATTTAAAAGGGCATTAGTAACCCCTATACATAAAAGTGGAAGTAAAGATGATGTGGACAACTACAGACCAATTTCTGTGCTAATAGTTCTATCAAAAATACTAGAGAAACTAATAAATAATAGCTTGAAAAAATATCTCATAGATAACGACCTACTCTCTAAACACCAATTTGGTTTTAGAAATGGAATTTCTACTCAGGATGCTGTGTTAGCTTTAACTGAAGAAATAAGTAAGCAACTGGACTCTGGTAACAAATGTCTTGGAGTCTTTTTGGATTTGGCCAAGGCGTTCGACACCGTTTCTATCACTATCCTGTTAGACAAACTATATAAATATGGTATAAGAGGCCTGCCTCAAGCCCTTCTAACAGACTATCTTACCGAACGTCAGCAACAGCTCAAGCTTGGTGAATATCTTAGCCGTCCATCAAATATATCTTATGGTGTCCCTCAAGGTAGCGTCCTCGGACCTACTCTATTTTTAATCTATGTCAACGATCTATGCAATTTAAGCCTACAAAATTGTCAAATATACACCTACACCGATGACACTGCTCTCATTTTTAACGCAAAATCATGGGAAAATCTAAGGATTATTGCTGACTCCGGAATATACCATATATCTAACTGGCTAAGATCGAACCTTCTGACCCTTAACATTAACAAAACTAAATTCATACCTTTTACCATACTGAAAAATACACAACCAAATTCTAAATTTAACCTAACAGTTCATACCTGCCATAAGCCATATTTAGATAGATATAATAATTGCTCATGTGATAAAATCACTAGGACTAGTACCATCAAATATCTCGGTGTAACTATTGATCAGCACCTTACCTGGAGTCAACACATTGAAAACATTGCTGACAGGATAAGGAAACTAACATGGGTATTTAAAAAACTCAGGTGTGTTGCGAATGAAACAACTCTTATAACCACCTACAAAGCTCTAGCGCAATCGGTAATGAGTTATTGCATACCTGTTTGGGGTGGTGCAGCAAAAACACATCTAATAAGACTAGAAAGAGCTCAAAGAGCTCTAATTAAAGTGATGTTCTTGAAACCGTTTCGATTTTCAACTTCTGAACTACATAAATCTTACAAATTACTTACTACTCGCCAGATGTATATATTGAATTGTATTTTAAAAAAGCATCGACATTTACCTTTCATACCTCATCAGACACCAAAACGTAGGAGTGCCAAAATTTGCAATATACCACAAAATAAAACAAAGTTTAAACAAAAGCAATACGTATTCCAATCTATGTCTATTTACAACAAATTCAACAGCAGATTGAATATTTACCCCTTGACGTGGACTAAAGTTAAACGTGTAGTGACTCAATTTTTATTAACACTAAACTACGAAGAAACTGAACAATTTATTACATAACTTTTATACTTCGAACAGCCACACCAATTGTTAAAGCACTACCACACAACCACAAAACAACACACACACACACACACACACATGCGCGCATGCTTTGCATGCATGCTTATCATGTAATTATTGTTATATTCCAAATTTCATTTACATTCTAATGCTAGATCTTGCCTTGCTTTTTGTTATTTATTGATTAACATAGTATTGTCTTGGTGGATGAGCGGGGTACCCAGTAATACAGGTTCCCAACCTAGACGGTACAGGTTATACCCTTGCGACTGGTTATAATGTATCATTGTAAATCAATAAATCATTTTTCATTCATTTTCATTTTCATTTTCATTTTTCATACTATGTTCATGAGAATGTTAGGTAGTAGATATAGTGCTACCAACCTAACAGTAATATGCGCTTTTGAAGTTAGTATTTCCACTCTTTTAATGGGGCGCAAGTAAGCTTCGCATAAATGCATTTGCACACAGACGCAATTAAGTACATATTTTTTATGATATTTTGTAGTTCCTTTCAGACATAAATTAGTTCGCACTGTAACCTAATAACAATGTCATAATTTTATCAAATTTATATTAAGTTTATTGTATTTCAGCAATGTTTCAGAAAATAAGTCAAGAGAATATAGAAAATATTAACCCATGCGATACAGAAGTAAGTTTCTATGTACCAATGTTGCATTTTTAACTTAAGTATTGTACTATTTACCTAACAATGCAAAATGTCAGGTCGCGCATGTAGTTGCTGAAACTGCCAGTTCCCAAAAAGTAGAAAATGTCACTCAGTATCAATCAGTCAGTCAAACAAAACTTAATCTTGTACCAAACTACGATAGCGAAGATACTTCTAACGAAGATAAGCCACAAGTAAGCAAGAACTTACGGCACCAATCATGCTCAAGTTCGAATTCCTCTTCGTCGAGCTCTTATTCATCGTCTTCGGATTCCGATAGCTCAGTTTCTTCAGAAACAACTAACGAACAAGCTTATACATATATACAGCCAACCGCAAAATGACATAGCCATTACAACTACACCCGTACCTGAATTGGAGGTTACTGTTAACAATACAACAAAGAATGATGGAACATTTCATGTAATATTCTTCGTTTATAGTTTTATTTCTAAACCTAGTTCTTATATTTCTAAGACATTTTTATTTTCAGGTATACGATAATAGCGTACGAGAGCGAAGATTGTGTACTAGAGATGATCCAATTATTATTTCTCCTCGATACACTGATGAGAGTGATTTAGATGACGATATAGAGGACCCAACTTACAACTTTGAGGACAAATTTGCTAACTTTTCTGGTCATATAAATAAGAATTATTTATTACCATCGCGTTCGAACTCAGATACTGATTCTACAGACCAGCACGTCAAAGCAGGTCGCAAAAGGCGGAAACGTCCAGAAAACTGGAGACAAAACCGAATGAAGATAAAGCGAAACAAGGGTCAATCCCACAAATCTATGTCTAAGACTCAAAAAATCTTCCCGGCTCGATGTTTGGAGCTGCCATGCTCAAATTGTAGACTGAATTGTAGTCAAAAAAATTAATGACTCAGTAAGATACGTTATTTTTGATAACTTTTGGAAACTGGGAGAACTAAACCAACAGAGATCATTTATAAATTCGTGTATGATTGATATTCAGCCAAAATACAAATACACAAACGCAGAAAATCCACGTCGTCCTAACAAGGCTTTTTTCTTTATTGTCAATTGCAATAAGGTAAGAGTATGTAAAACATTTTTAAAAGCACGTTAGATATAACTGATCGCATGATACATACTATTAGGATAAATACAAACGAAAGTGGATTTTTGATGGAGGAAAGGCGTGGGAAACATGGCCACAATAAAAAGATAGATCCCGAATTGCTGGTTGACATTAAAAAACATATTGAATCCATTCCTCGGATGGAATCACATTATGTTAGGTCAAACACCAATAGGGAATACATAGAAGGTGGTAAAACAATTAAAGATCTTTACAAAGATTTTGTTAAGATAAAAAAATGATAATGGTAAAGAAGCCGGTAACTACATAACCTATTACAAAATCTTTAAAACAGCCTTTAATCTAAGTTTCTTTTGCCCCAAAAAGGATCAGTGCGATTTATGTGTCAGTGAAATATAAGAACGTTAACAGTAGCCAAAAAGTGCTCATAGAAGATAAGTATCAAACACATTTAAAAAAGAAGGAGCTTAGTAGAAAGGAAAAATTTAATGTCAGAATTAAAGCAGATGCTTACCGCATGCTTGCAACAAGGTCGTTGTTTACGACTTAGAAGCCGTTTTACAATGTCCCAGAGGAGAAACGTCGGCTTTTTATTATAAGTCTAAATTAAATAGCTATAATCTAACACTGACAGAACTTAACAACAAGGATAACAGAAATGCTTATAATAACGTTTACTGTTATTTTTGGACAGAGGTCGACGGAAAACGGGGGGGCTATTGAAATCGGATCATGTGTGTGGGATTATTTAAATAAAATCAGTAGCGAAGAAGGGACAGCAGAAAAGAATATTATTTTTTATTCTGATAACTGTTGCGGTCAGAATAAAAACAAATTTATAGCAACATTGTATTTGTATGCTGTACAAAAATTAAACATTAATAGTATTACTCATAAATTCCTTATCAGAGGTCACACACAGAATGAAGCAGACAGCGTGCATAGCCTAATCGAAAAGGAAATTAAAAAAACCTTAAGTCAGGTCCAATTTATACCCCTGATCAATATATTGCATTGATCAAGTCTGCAAAAAAGTAACCCACCTATAAACGTTTACGAAATGACATTCGACTCATTTATAAATATTAAAGACCTGCAAGAGGATTGGGGGTATAATTTTTATACCAATATTGCTGGAGAGACAGTGAACTGGAATGAGATAAAACAATTAAGTATGTTCATACAAGGAGGTGGACGTGCGAAACAAAAGAAAAAAGATGAAGCACGAAAATGAAGTTCAACTAAAACAAGCATATACCGAAAAGCAGTCATTAAGTGCCAAAGAAAAAGGACTTGAAAGAACTCCTCACAAAGGGGCTAATTCCATCTTACTATGCAAATTTCTATAACACGTTATTGTAAAAGTTCTCTTTTTTACTATAAAGCTTACTTTAACTATTTTGTCCACTACTTTGTAGGATTAATCCTGTTCACCAATGAGTATAAATAAGTGATAATATTTTTGTTTTGTTTTTTATCATTTTTACTAGATATATCATTTTCAGAATGGATCATTTTTACTAAAAATAAGCGATAATAATCATTGTGTGTTGTAGAGAGTTACCTATAGACTTCTGAACTTTGGTTTATTATGTTATATATTATTTCAAATATTTTTCTTTATCTGAAATTATTTTTGGTATAGACATTAATATAATAAAAGTCAAAAAAGATATTATACTAATTTTTGTGCTATATTATAGTTTTCACGAAGTAAAGTCCCTTGTATTCTTAAGTATAATTTTAAGATTTAAATAAGATGAAACTATAATGGCGTTCTTCTAAATTTATACCAAATCTCATCGTTAATTAAAGTGTAATGCGTAATAATAAAATGAATTTTCTTTGAAAAAGCCGCCTTCCTTTAATATCACAAAGTCGTTTTAAGAAATAGGACTAAACGGTTACCTTCTTAATTTATGCAAAGAGCATTATAACTTAATACATCAAATTATAAACATATATGTTAATAATAAAATGCACGAATATATTTTGTATCATATAAAATATTAGATATCAATTTTAATTTTAATCATAAAATGAATTAAGTCACTCACTATATTTAAAGCTATGTTTTTTTTTCAAATTTATAAAACATATGTTACGATTAAATAATATCATTTGGAAGACTAATTTATAGAGAATTTAAAAACGTTACAAGCATTTCTGTACAGTACCTGAATTTATTTTTATTTATAAAAATACGTAGGGAGTCTTACTGGCCAAACTTTGAAAACGATTTCCCAACAATTGTGGTTTTTGAATTATTTCGGTTTATTATTAAAGGTGCGATATATATATATATATTACATACTAGGTCAGTACTATTACCTCATCCGATACGATATATAATTAGTTAAATAGTATATATGGGCCGATCCCGGCGGCACTGCAATGCCGGGCCGACCCGTGACGGGAGTGGAGCGAGCCCCGAACATCCCGTCGAATTTCAAAAATCAGTTTAATATACTGGTCCCGCAGTGCGGGAACTTTCAGATATTAAGCTGAAAAGAACAGATACTACACTTTGATCTTAGCCAAAAGGCCGAGAAGCGATGACAATCATGTTGCGTCGAGGTCTCTTATACACTCCGAAATAATCCCAACATCGCGTTTTAGCAATATAGGAACAAATATACAGCGCCATCTATCGCATCATCAACGCGACACAACTTTCATTATACTTGCTTACCTACACAAATTCTACATCACATTGACGAGCAATAACATCACACACACATTTGAAGTTAAAGCACAGATTACTGTGTATATACTAGAGAGAGAGAGTAAAAGCGTCACTTTCATTTCAAACATATTATACATATTGCGGATGCTACGTTGTTAAATTATTTTTTTAGTCTATTATTAGTTATGTTATTACCACCCATATCATTATTTTTCATACTCAGATTAAGTATTGGGTATTTTATTATAATGCAAGGAATTGAATAAACAATCAATAACTTTTTTATGCTTTTTATCAGACCAAAAAGGAAAGATTGACGGAGCGGTGTTTACATTTCAAGAGCAGGTGACGCAAAAACCATGCTCAACTTTTTGACACGCACTCGCTCGCCGTAGAAGTTTACTGCTGGACGTACCACACATATTATGCACCTAAAACCATATAAACTAATAACTCAATGCTATCATAATTGTTAAAATTGAGTGATCTATAATTTTCGAATAATCTGTCAGTACGGTATGCGCGCCATCTAGAGCAAGTTAATTGTACTATGCCTATAACCTTTGCGCAAGTGCAAGCAATAAGTTGACAAAGATTTACCGCAATCTGATGAACGGTGTGGCAGCGCATAAAATACTTATGCTATTAATTTTGTATACCTACTAATATATATACATTTTTCTACATTTATGTATTATGTAACTAAAGCATTTTAAACATTTGAAATAATTCTTTAAAAGTAAACGACGCAACTATATTTTTTTAAACGTATACCAGCATATGCCCGAAGGAAACTTTGAATGGACATGTTTATTTGATCTGAAACACAGAGTACCTTTGTATTAACAGAAAATCTGAAACTGCAAATTCCGATGCGTGATGTATCCTTATTAAAAAGTAGCAAACAGTGTTGAATTTTGGTACTTTTGCCGAAATACAGCTGCTCACCGATCCGCTTATTACTCCAGTAAGTAGTACAATGTTTCATCTTAGATTATAATATTGTCATAATATTTGTGATTAAATAATAATAGTATTACTCGTATTTAAGTTCGTAATTCATTGTTTGATTTTTATAACATTAATTTAAAAAATCTTAGCAAATTTCACTACCTGCGTAATATAACAGCGTACCTACAAATATTATTAGTGATTCTTTATGTTAAAGCCCTCACCTGTCGATCGCAAGGCGCTGATAACCACCTCCAGGGTGAGATTACATATATGCGGACTAAACGGGCGACCCTGTTTCACCCCGGACTGCAGTTTGATTGGGGCAGTGAATCACTCAGAGGTACGAACTTTACTTATCGTGTCTTTGTATAATCGCTGGCATCCCGTGATGTTCAAGAGCCCTATGAATAGACGAGTGCGGGACAGAGTTTAATGCGCTAGCCAATCCAGTACTTATAATTTCAATACAAAACCATAATGTTTGTTAAACATGTCGAAGTCATAATTTAATTTTTTATTAGAATCCAATAAATGTGCATGTTCATGGGTCATTATATCAAGGTATAAAAGGTTGTTGAATGTTTCAACTCTCCAATTAAACAGGTTACTTATGTAGCTATCCATACTTATAAGTCGGAAGGCAAATTATGACATTAGTGTGCTTAATCTTCTGTAGGATGTCACGAATATAGTAAATCAACTCGACATAATTTTTGGTTATTTTAAAATCAGTTTCTCCAATCATTATAACGCAGTAGTCGTCAATGGAGTATCGCTCCAATTTTCGCTCAATATCGTTCAATAGGTGCCGTAAATCACAATTTGGGTAGAGGTAATGGCACAATAGGAAGCTTTGCAGATTAGTCTCGGCTATTTTTTAGTATTTTATTGTTTTTATTTGCACTTAGTATGGAGATCTTTTTTAGTCGCTTGGTTTGTTTGCAATTATTTGCAGACTTGTCAATATTCGAATTCGGCTTATCAAGGTCAATTTTACTAAATATTGTTTTTTCTTCCGTTAGTTATACTACTTGTTTCCATTACTTCATCTGGTTGTATTGTTTTAATAGATGTATTTGCGATTGAAGTATATTCCTTTGGCGTATTTGATTTACCTATGTATTTTGTTTGAACTATCAATCTTTTTTTTTGTGGTGGTCGTTTTTGTTAGTTAAT